TGTCGAGAATATATTGGGTGATAGCAATAACCACCTCTGACAGCTCCCAACGCCCCCGCGCCACCTCTGACAGCAATAACCACTAGTTGAGAGAGATCCTGGTCCGTCGCTCGAGGATATGATGATAGAGTTGACGGCTCACACCCCTAGCTTTCAGCAAAGTGTTGAGGCAAGCATCAAGAGCCAAGAAGCGAGCATCGAGAACCACGGACTACGCATAAGGAATTTGCAAAGCCAAATGAGCCAATTGGCGGAACAAATGGACCGACTAGTGTGTCGGATCGAAACGATTCCAATGAGTTCAGGCATCACCCATTCGTGCAGCGAGGACCCCGAAGAGCTTGAAGAGTGCACATACGAGCCGGAGAACAAAAAAATCACGAATACAGAAAAAGCAGAGTCGAAGCAGCAGAGTACTGGGGTGCCCCGTACTCAACTTGCTGGACCCAGTACTCGACCTGCTGGAGCCAAAAAGCGTACAGTTCTCCATTCTCTTGTGCCGATAGAAGCTGAACCATGTCTTATCCCTTCTAATATGAAATGGGTGCTGAGTAAAGATGCACTAAAGCATGTCTTGAGCCTTAATATCCAGCCTCTTGAGACGGTCGAGCAGAACGAAAGGTGTAAGTGGGAGTTCAATGAGACGATGACCGTGATTGAGCACCGGTTGCTACATATTCAGGAGAAAATAGCATCATGGAGGAAAGATCCGGCGAAGCATCCAACTTCGGAGAGTGGGGATTTCGTCAAGCATGGTGTGGTGAGATTTGTGGCTCCCTTGAGGCCACCTCGGAAGCCACCATGGACCCTTTGATAAGAAGGAGCAATAAGTCGGGCCAACGACAATAAAAAGAGGCGCTTGTTGGGAGGCAACCCAATGGTGTGCATGGTCCGGTGACTTCCTCTGCATTTACTAAGGTGAACTCGTTTCTTTTACCTCCGTCTTAGTGTTTTTTTTGTTTATTTGAGTGTCAATGATATATGCAAACTCTAAGTTTGGGGAGGTGGTTTCTTGGTGAGCATTCATGATTTATTATGTGATTATATTTTTGCCCCTTAGAGTTTGAGTTCTTAGATTAAATTTCTTGATATATGTTTGTCTTGTGTGAGTGTGAGATTGCATGTACGTGGAAATTTGCGATGATGATATGAGAGTCGGTTTGAGTTTATTGTGCTAGTTTAAATGGCTTGGGTTAATTTTATTTGGTTAAATTCTTAAGATGTTTTTATTTTGGGGACAAAGGCATGGTGGTTGATATTTTTGTGATTCATTTGTGGTGAGTTGGTTTTGAGGCGATTTGTATTGTTGAGATGTGCTTGTGATTGCTTTAATCAATGTTGATTAAGTTTGGGGACTTGAAGTTGAAAGTTGGGATTTCTATGTCTCATAGTCGAAAAAAAATGGAATAATAAGGATGGAGGAATAATTGGTGGAGTTGAAAAGCCATTAGAAAAAAAAAAAAAAAAGAAAGATCGTGGGCTGCAACAGCTGCCAATCCGTGGGGGCTCTAGTGTATAATTCTAATAATTCTTGTATCGAGACAATCACGAAAGGCTAAAACCCGCGGGTTGTGACGGAGCTGCCGTTCCCTACTTCAAAAAAAAAAAAGTTTGGAGAATGAGGCATTTAGACTTTGGGTAGAAACGGAAAGAAACTGGACTTGTTAGCAAAGAGAGGGGTGTCATGAGTTGCACTGATCGGTGCATTTGTTATAGAGATTGACAAACTATGGTGGTCATTTGAATTGATACTTGATGTGTTTGAGTTTCTAGAATGATTTCGTCTTGAGTCCGGATAAATTAATTTGAGTTGTTTGAACTATGCACTTATGTGAGAATTGTGAGACCCTGAGTAAAGTTCCACGTACTTGTTTTCTTATCCATCTATGTGCTTATAGTTCTAAGTTGCTTGGGGACAAACAACGGTTTAAGTTTGGGGAGATTTGATTGACGGAAAAAGTGTGTGTGTTATATATTTATTAGTGTACTTTTATATACTTAATTTTGTCACACTTATATATTTTTCGGCTTATTTATTTATTTATTGAATTTAAGTGCTATGATATATTTATGTCTTATTTTTAGGATATTGTATTATTTTCGTGGACGATGGCACGCGACGGAATTTCACTCTAGCAGTATGGATGTATCCTAACCAGCCCATTTTCAGCCCATATGCTAATTCATGTGTTGATCAAAGTTGATTGGGCTTCCAATGTGATTTTGGGTGAAAGAAGTTGAAACTTGATTCTTAAAATAGGTTGACCCACCAATTGAGAATTCTTGAGCCAAAAATTCAAAGCACGACACTTGAGAGAAAATAAGTAATGGGAGAGGCTTGGATCAATTAATTGCAAGGAAAAGAGGATTAAAAATTTGGAGGCAGCCACCCATCATAATAAAAGGAGATAAACACGCATACCTGGGAGAGTTCTATTTTGTGGGACATTCACGCACAACAGGGCCGCCACGGACTTGAAGAAAAATATACACGCAGAAACAGAGAACGAAGACGCGAGAAGAGAGCAGAACACGAGAGCCCGACGAATTGCGGAGGGAAGCCGCACCCGTACACAAGGGAGATAATTAATCTCTATCTTTTATCTATCTTTTTCTTTTTATTATTTATTATGTTAGGCTTGTTTTTCTTTCTAGTTCTGGGGAAGTTGAACCCTACGACTTGATGATGTTTGATTAATTTTCGTGGTTGATTATTAAATTATCTTTTTGGAATTACTTGTGTTATTTCGAATAATTCACCATGATGTGTTGAGTTGAATTTAGATTGATCACCTAGATTAGGCTTTACATATCTACACACTGAATTAGGCCTTCAATCCGTAATTGTTGATGTGTTTAATTCGCAAGTGGTATCCGGAAGATGGTAACTACCGGGGATAACACGGCCTATTTCAGTGAACGAACGCGGTTGAGTTCACTACTTAGTCTAGCCTATTTTTCTAATACGTAAAGCGGCTAATTGTATTAAATCTTGAAAACGTTTTTCTGGACTGTACAAGAAGTCAGGTCTAATCGTAGAGCGTCTCGCGGTTAGATTAAAAATAAGAAAAAATTCGGGTAACAGACCGTGTCGTTGCCTAGGGCTAGTAATTTCATAAGATAACAAGATTTGATACCAGAATTGATTAGATGAGGCAGTCGAGGGTGTAGACGGAACCGTGAACTAGAAAATTCTCTTGTTTATTTTATTTTTATTTTTATTGTTTTGATTTCATTCTTAGATAGATTAGTTATTAATACAAAATCTCCCCCTTTATCGCTTTTATAATTCAATTAATACAAGAATATCACAACTTGATTCACACTCCCTGTGGGTTCGACCCTTGCTCACCACTACTACTAGTTAGTAGAGGTTGGTTAAGGAAAATATAAATTATAATTTTACCGCGTTGCGACGCGCGGTCACCTATCCCTAGAAAAATCAGCTATGTATCATGAATTCAACACGATAAATCAATTCTCTCAATTCAACCATTTTTTATGAATTCAAAAGAAGAGAAAAGAAACTTACAATAAATCTGAATTCTAAGTGTTGAATATCAATTACAAGCTTAACCCTTGAACAATAAATAAAAAGAAGAAGAAAATTGGAGAAGAAAGTGTTAATAACCGAGTTAGCCCAGAATGAACTGGAGACTTGGCCCCTCATGACCCGAGCTGAGGACCCGGTCTGAACCGGGGTGCCAAGCTGAATCGAAGGTTAAAGATATGAATAACCGCCGTGGGAACGTTTACCTAGACCGACACCTGCCTCAGTCCGGACAGAAGCCGAGCTGGGTGGGTGCCGGGCAGGAAGAAGACTATTGGCCGTCTCGCGAACACGTTCGAGTAAGGTGTCGACCTGAAGATCCGGGGTGGCCGACCAGAGGGAAAGGGCGGGGCTCGATGAGCATTAAAATATTCCCACTTGGAAGGCCATCATTGGATGATGGGACATGTCATCATAACCTAGCGTCCTACCAGCAAGCCTAGTCAATAAAGCCTACCAGCATTAAATGTCCCCCATGCTGGCATTTAATGCCTGACAAGTAATGATTGAAGAAACCTCAAATCGCATTAAATGGATGTCAGAGGGACGCCGAACTGCTCTGCAAGGCCACTGTGCGACAAGACCGGTGAACAGTAGTTGAACAGTACCACCTTAAAGACTACTATAAATAGCAGTTTACTTCATTTATTTTGGGTTGTTGAAACTCAACTAACACTGCTCTCTCTCTCTCTACTTTCTCTCTCTAAGCTGTAAGAAATTCCTTGTAAGAATTGTAAGTATATCACAAGTGCCGACCTCGTACGAGAGGCCGGTTTCGTGATCGCCCAATAAAACCGTAATTAAATCAAATCTTCCTTTCGTTCCCAGTCTTTTGCTTTCAACATTTATCATTTTAACCGTTGACCGAAAACGCTCGTGAACAGTTTGGCGCTAGAGGAAGGGCACCATAAGTTACTTGGTGTCAATTATTCGATCTTGTGAAGCCCCATATTCACTCACCTTCGTTTACCTTGAATCCCGTTCAAGATGGCTTCATCCAGTCACGA